CCCCCCCCCCCCCAATCCCTTGATGTCAAAATATTTGCTTCGATTTCATAACATATTTCCCACACCCCATGCAATGTTCCCTTTAAGCTGCGCGTTTGCGCAGCTAACTCAGACGCCGCGCAGCAGTTTTGAGTATCCGCACAGCAAATTTCCATGTGAGTGTTTGTGTTTGTGGGCTGTAAAATTTTGCACACAAAAAAATTGATGCTGTAAAACTTTGCACACAAATGTATGATTTTGCACACGATCCAGCAAACCTTAGAGGGAACATTGACCCCATGATAAAAATACTAATAAAGCTGATTTGCACTTTTTGAAATCGCACCCTGCACCCGCGGGAGATGCAGGCTCCCTTGGTTAAAAATAATTACATTACATGATATGAACTGTTTTGGAGTTGTGTCATTCAGTTTTAAAAAAAGCACATAATCAAACATAGGACCAAACACAAAACCGAACACAGAACCAAAAACAGAATCAAACATAGAACCAAAAATATAACCAAACACATAATAAAACATAGAAACTAACACATAACCAAAACAAAGAGAATCAAACACATAATCAAACACAGAACAAAAAAAATATACCAAACACAGAACCAAACACGGAATCTGAGACACACCCAAACACAGATTCAAACACAGTAGCGCCCCTGCCCTTAAATATTCTGATGAGGGTCGTACCAAAAAATGCCAATGAAAGATGGAAACATTTTTGGAAATCCCATGGCAGTTCCCACGGCATAAATCAAAATTTGTTTAAAATTCTGCTCTAGAAATTAAATCTATGATGCATCAGCAATTGACTGTATAGAATAGGATATTAAATGTATAGAATCGGCAATGGACTATATAGAATCAACAATAGACTGTATAGAATCGGCCATTGACTGTATAGAATCGGCCATTGACTGTATAGAATTGGCCGTTGACTGTATAGAATCGGCCATTGACTGTATAGAATCGGCCATTGACTGTATAGAATCGGCCATTGACTGTATAGAATCGGCCATTGACTGTATAGAATTGGCCCTTGACTGTATAGAATTGGCCCTAGACTGTATAGAATCGGCCATTTACTGTATAGAATCGGCCATGGACTGTATCGAATTGGCCATGGACTGTATAGAATCGGCCATGGACTGTATAGAATCGACCATGGACTGTATAGAATCGGCCATGGACTGTATAGAATCGACCATGGACTGTATAGAATCGGCCATGGACTGTATAGAATCGGCCATGGACTGTATAGAATCGGCCATGGACTGTATCGCTCGAAACTGAGATTATGTCGTCATTTTTTATTTTTTTTTAATTAAAAAATAAAACTATTTTGACAATTTTAGTTATTTAATTCAGGCCTGCACAACTCAAAATGTAAGGCGGGCCATAATACTTAGAGAAAAACTTGTGCGGGCCAAAAGATAATAGAACAGGGGGGGGGGGGGAAGCTATTAAAGAAAATAATAACAATAAAGAATATTTCGTTACTTCGCGGGCCGCCAAGTGGGCGCTGCGGGCGGCATGCGACCCGCGAGCCGTATGTTGCGCAGCCCTGATTAACTATTTAAGCTGCAGTTAAACCATACTATATAATTTCATACTGAGTTAATCCAGGTAGACGCGCATGTAGATTGTGAAGCATGCGCACATAAATATGATAGACTGTGACCTGAATTTCATCCCAGTCTCACCTAAAAACGTAATCGTGAAAATTTTACTCTTTTTTTTCTTTCCGATCTGAGCAGAATTGACCAGATCAGCACATCCTGGGAGAGATCAGAAAAATTGATAGAACTAGAAATTTAAAATCAATACAAACCAATAAAAAAGATGGTGGCAAAAAAAAACAAAAAAACATTGGCCTGTGCGGCGAATAGATAGATCGAGTCATGTTCAAAATGGTTATGTCCAGTTAGAGAATAATTGAGATATATATGTCAACCACTGATATTTGGATATATATATATATATATATATATATATATATATATATATATATATATATATATATATANTATATATATATATATATATATATATATATATATATATATATATATATATACAGGGTTGTAGGTGACTTTGGTGAGGGGGGGGGGTCAGAACACGGGATCCCCAGCCAGGTATGTCCTTGTAAATATATATATATATATATGTGTATATATGATCCTAACATTATAATCCAAGCTTGGCCAGCTC